AAGCTCTTTTGCGATATAAATATTTAGCTTAACAGTTAATAAAACGATAATAATGGGCCATTTCAAAGCCCATATTACGTTGTCTAGGAAGGGATCGGCAACAGTCCTTCCCTCAACCTCCTCCCTTCCCACCTCACTTGACTAACTTCTGCCAACTTTTCCTTCCAGAATGTATTTTCCTCTTTATTTAATTCCTTTAGAAAATGAAAAAAGGAGATACTATCTCTCATGAGTAAGGCATTTTAAGTAATTTTATTCTATCTCTAATCATTTCTTGTGTTGGTAAATAATTTTAATACCATAACTATAACCCCTATTAATGTTTTCTTATCTATTATCAATTCCGTACCTCCGTACATAATGCAGGACTGTAAAAGTCAGTGCTCCTCGCAAAAGTCCAGTACTGCGGAGTACATAAAGCATAGCATTGACAGGGAATCACGCTACTGTTATAATGATATTTATTTGTTTTAGAATCTACTTTTTTAGCTACTGAAGAGAAAAAAGCCATGTATGCTGTGTACTACGTCACCAGTTTCAGAGTGACATTGTGGTGATCAGGAAAGTCAAGATAATACCGACACATAATTGCAAAAATTGATTGTATTTTTAAATATAAATTTAAAAAAAAAATGCCGACTTTAGAAACAATCTTAAACAGTTAACACACATACAAGTATTACTCTTTAGTAGTTCTTGGTGTTGTATTTCTGCAATAGCTTTTTACAGACATTAGCCCTACCATCGAAAACAAAGCGCAAAACAGAGAAAAAAGAATAAAAACACAAATCGTAATTGCATGCAAAAAAAAAAGAACATATTTAATAGCTATCGAAATACAGAAACACTTTTTAATAGTTGCTATAAAGATTAAAGTGAGTTTCATTTTATTGTTGTTTTCTCTTATTCGTTTTCTCATTAAATTCTTAGGTCGAAGGGAAAATAAGATCACTAGCAAATATGATCTCCCCTGCATTGAACAGCATTTCAATCAATGAAATTAATGAAAATTTCCACAACATGCTTTTTCTACCAATCAAAAAAGAGAGGAAGTGCATAGTCTGTAAACTGAAAAATTCGTCAACTCTGTATATGGTTTTTCAAGAAAGACGGTAATAATGTTTTTAAATATAATTATGTGCTTGGAATAATGAAATAACAATATATCTTTCTGTGGGCGGCCTATGGCAACCAAATCGTATCGACTGTCCCAATGTACATGTACGCACAGTGTAGTTCTCCAGAATATGTTTTCTCTCCTCTTTGTCGAGTATCGTTCAGATTTCACCAATACAGTGCTTTTAAAGGTGTGCATTTTATTTTGCCTTGAACACAATTTTAATGTTCTAGTTAAAACGATATGTTGAGTCGTCATTCACCTCTACTCCATAGGATTTATTTTCTAATTGAATTATTCCGAGCTCTCTGACTGGCTGAAATCCAACTTTCCGGAAATCACAAAAAGTTATAACAACCTATGCCCTCCAGATGAACATAACCTTAAGTTGCATTTTCTACATTGCACGAAAAGTAGATCGGGAACTTCTAATTTCATGCGATTAGACAAAAGATGGAATTAGTAAGAGCTTTTCCGATCAAAGGGTGTCCGTCTGTTGGGTATCGTCTGTAAATTTTTCAATTTTCACTTTTCGACTCCTTGTCCAGAACCAGTAGACCAATCAATTTTAACCAAACCTGCCAGAAAGTTATCTTGAGGGAAGGAAATAAATTCAACTTTCTTCAAATAAAGGGTCACGCCCTTTTGAAATAGAAGATAATTCAGAAAAGGAAACAATTGGGTGATTTCCTGGCATAAATTAAAGTTTGTTCATATCTTTTGGAAGAAGATAGTGCTACAAATTTTACGTGAAAGAAATATATTAGGGAAAAAAACTTTGTAAGAACAGCTGGGCCATGATTATCCATATTGATATGCTAGCGTCCTAGTTTGTTCAAGTTTGTTCAAATCATGGCACCAAGGGGTAGGATGGGGCTAAAGTAAGAGATAGGTGTTTTACATGGGAATCTATAAGAAAACTATCTTTAAAAATCTTATATCTCAAGAACAGCAGGACCATGCTATTCATATTGATGTTGTTTTGAGGTGATTTTTTTTTCATTGGAATAAAGAGGGGGAATCTTCTGAAGAAGGCCAGAGCCAAGGTGACTCAGGTGAGCGTTGTGGTCATAGGGCTCTTGTGTTTATTTGTGTCATCCAACGAAATCCTGTGTCTTTCATGACGTTCGAGTTTGTTTGTTTATTGTTTAACGTCCCTCTCGAGAATTTTTCACTCATATGGAGACGCGCCCACTGGCCGGTGGAGAGCTGCAAATTTTGAGCTATACTCAGCACTCAGGGCCATTGAGCAGTGAGGGATCTTTTTCGTGCCAGCACCTACTGCGACACGGGACCTCGGTTTATACGGTCTCATCCGAAGGACCGGTCTCCACGTCCCACAGTGGGATTCGAACCCGCGACGTAAGGATCAACTCCTTACTCCGCGACTCTAGAGCGAACGCTCTAACCACTGCGCCACGCAGGCGACTGGAGTTCGAGTAGGACTTCAGCAGGAAAAAATGTCGAAATAAATTTAAAGAGTTTGTATCATTTATTATTAATCATTGATTCGTGTGATATACCAGGGGTTTTTTTTGGGTCGAAACGATGATTAAGCAAACCTCGAAGAACAATGTTCACTCTGTCTCTTGTGCTTATCGTACTTCTTGCGTTAGTTAGATAATTGTACTGGCCTCAACTCAATATATAATAGCAGTAATTGTATAATATTTACCTACACCAGACCTTCCAGGTGAATATGATATTTGATTTTTTTCTATATTGCAGTAGAAATAGATCGGGAATTTCCAAATTCATATAATTGATTTTTTTTGTTGTATAGTAAAATCCAGCGTTTCTCACTATGTTCGGATAAACTTCAGCAGACGTATATACAACGAAGACGACAAAGTTTGGTTAAGGCACATCGTTCTCTCCAAAAAATTGCTATAATGCTTATGATTTTCAAGAAAAAATCTCATCAATAATTGAAATGCTCACTATTTCAACATACATTACGTGGCAAAATTTGAAAGAAATTGCTTTTTTACTTGACAATAATAGTCATTTATTCCAGTGAAAGTTATCTCTCTTATCAGAGGGTAGGTGAACCTTAACGAGTTTGTAGCGTTGAGTCATAATGAACCATTGGACTCGGTGAATATTGGGTTCAACTAGGGTATACGGAAAAGTAGATCCGTAAAACCGACTAACATCTTTCAAATTTAAAACAAGGAAAGAAATAGTTTCCTTTATAAGTTGCCTTATTACGTCAAATAGTCCACAAGAAAAAAAATAGTCCACAAGAAGAATTTTTCCGTAAATGGTTGACAATTTGACACTTAACCTGTATTGTCAGCACAAAGGTCGACAGGTCGACAGTTGACACCTAATTGGTAAACTCTTATCACTTAAAATAAAGGTCGACAGGTCGACATCAAATTGCTAAATCTTATCCATCACAACAAAGGTCGACAGTTGACACCTAATTGGGATAAAACAAAGGTCGACAAATCAACAGTTGGTACCCGTGCGGTTTCGTTTATAATTCAAAACAAAAGTTGACAGGTCGAAAGTTGATTCGGTATTCCGTTTATCCTCATAACATCATCTCGAATTAATAAGGTTAATTCTTGAACCCTCCCAAGAGTTTAGTCCTCGAACCCATCGGAAAGATAAGGGTTAGTCCTCGAACCCACCAGAGAGATTAAGGGTAGTTGCCGAATCCACCGGGAAGATTAGGGTTAGTCCTCAAACCCACCCGAGAGATTAGGAGTAGTGATCAAATAATCCGTTGACTTGTCGACTTCAACCCGTCGACTCATCTACCTGTCGACCTGTCAACTCGTCAACTCGTCAACCTATCGACCTGTCAACCCTTCGACTCGTCGACCTGTCAACTCGTCGACCTTTCTTCTTTAATACATTTTGACCTGTCAAGCAAACAATCTGTCAACCTGTCGAATATTGTACTCCTGACGTAGCTTACTAGAATTAACATGTTACTGATCTTAAACAGCAAATGAAAAATTGTTTCATATGGTGTCCGGGGTGTGTGTCCAGATTTTTTTAATTTTCTTACTCACCTATCAAGGAAAATGCAGAAAATTATGGGGTTTTTTTTATTTCCATAGGTCAACCATTATTCATACTTCATTAATCTTTGTTTAATAGTGTGTAGTAATTTTTTTACGAAAACTTTAGAAAACAATTACAAAATCAAAAGATCAGTGTGTAAATTCAAGATTTCCAATACCCAAACCACATTGTTGCTTCATGTAGACATTATCTGAATGAGTATAGTGTAATGACTTCCACCACAGAATATAACATAAGAAGCTATGGTCAGCATTTGTGATAATGCTTCGTCCTGATACATTTTTACTCGCCTTGGGTGTAATTTTATTCACGCTTCTCGCATAGAGTTTCTTCACGAAAGTAACGTTTGTGTTATTACATGGCCGTAGGAACCGGGGGGGGGGGGGCACGGGGAGCCGTGCCCCCCCCCCCCCAATAATTTTGCCGATATATAGATTACTATAGAAAACATAGATACTATATGCTTGTGCCCCCTCAATAAGAACGTCTGATGAGCTTTTTTTTTTTTTTTTTTTTTTTTTTGCTTGTCAAGAAATTTTGGTAGTTGATAGTGCTCCTTCAACTGAAAATGTATGGCTGTGCCCCCTCAAACTGAAATTGCTTCCTACGGGCCTGTATTACATTGATAATGATATTTCAATGCCTTACACATCTTCTACCAAAAATATAATAATCATGAAAATATTGAGTAGCATTATTTGTGATATGACTGTGCATGTGGCAAGTGCAATTTTTAAGTATATGGAAAAATAAAAATACAGTAGAAATTCATACGTTTGATTTAGGACTAGTACATGGAAAAAAAAAGTTGCTCTACTTTAACTGCATCTCTTTTATCACTTACCTGAATTCTGCTTTCATGACTGCTAGAGCTGTATGACTTACGGAGAATTTTCCGTCTTTCAAAACCCCAAGGTAATCAAACTAAATAAAAACCATCAGCCCTATTGAAAACTGTTTGTGAAACTGTTGATTTACGTAAATGTTAACTGAAGCAAGAAAGAATGCAATCATCTAAATCGTCCTTGTATAAAAATAATACATTAAGTGCAGTCAAATTGTAAATGGGAAGTAAAGAAATTTAACGTGTTTTAAAAGCTACTACAAAAACTGTCTAAACATTTAAAGGAGCTAAATAGAAGTTTACCTGAATCTTCCATTTGCCATTTCATTGTCTTTGGCTTAAAAATATTTGAAGATTGAAATTATTAATTTGCAATCACTTCCTAAAATGGCTTAGGTTTTATATTTAAAAAATCTCAAGTTTTCCCCTATTTATCCCTTTCATACATGTACCATTTTCGATACAGTCATTTTTGGAAACAAGTTGAATGTTAACAGATTGTCGCTTCTAAGATCTCTAAGTAAGTTCATTAATGTCAAATTTATGAAAATCCGCTGAGCAGATTTCTACTGTTTACCACCACTTATTGATCTATTGATCATCAACAAGCCAGTTAGTGGTAAAACCATTCTGGCCGCAGTTAGTGATGAAACCATTGTGGCCGCAGTTAGGGGTAAAACCATTCTGTCCGCTGAGTTCTGCAGACTCGGTAACCTTTGGACTTCAAATGTGCATGTAAAATTTTCTATCAAAATAATTCTGACTAACATAATCATAATTGTCACAAAATGAAGTGATTTAGATAATATGATAAGCATTCAAAGATGTAACCACATTTCCATATTTGGATTTCACATATCACTCCCTTACATCTTCCAATTTTTTTTAGATGAAAGAAATTTGCAACCTAAAGAGCTTATATAGTTATTACTTAGTTGTTGGAAGATGATTTAATGGTAAACTTAATATCTCGATGCTGCTGCATTATTTTAAATTACTGAGTAGTATTTAATTCTACAGTCAATACTTTTAGTTTTAGGAAAGATGATGCAAACTGAGGTTGCGCTATGATTCCCCGCAGAGTACTCTACAACAGCAAACACAATTCAGATAGATAGAATGATGGGGATGTTTTCAAGTTTTATTTTAGTACAGTGTTAAAAAAACTGTTCCCTAGGTTCAGTATCAATAACAGTATTTCTTTTTGGGTCACTTAAAACTCAGTTACTAAATGCCATCTGATCCAGCTTGTCGTCGAGCGACGAAGGTTTTCGTAAAGCTTGAAAATGTCGAGGTTCTTCTCTAAATAATTGAAACGGTTTGAATCCATTTAGGTATGCATCTATTGACAAAAGAGAACAAAAATTGTTTAATATTTCCTCTTCCTTGTACACTTGAGACCTAAAGATTGAGACAAAAAGATGACAAAACACACGATTTTCAAAAAAATCTTTTTTTTACTCCTGAAAATCTGAGACAAACTTTGTAATTACTTATAAAAATTTTCAAATTAAAAACCTCAAGGTTGGGCTAAATGGTAATATAGTTAATATACTAAATAATTGTTATAACTTTGACAATTCTTCTACTCTTGTTCTAAGAATCATGAATTCTTGTAAGATTTCGAATATGCTGATCATACAAGCAGGTGAATTGAACATTCGTTTGATCTTTGAAAATCTTCCTTTGGCAGACAAACTTTGCTCAAGTTGGCAATTTACCCTTGACTTGAAATTTGAAATTCATTTCCCCAGTTCCAGAGTTTAGGTCTCAAGGGTAGGGCCTAGTTAGTCATATATTGAAATTCATATAAAATCCTTCGTTACTGTTTACTCCTGGACATGTAAGAGGCTAACCCTTAATATAAGAAGGCCATCTTCCAAAATTTGTGAAATTTCATGCACCCCATTGTTGGGGGTTGAGGCCTCTGGGTGAGGAATCAATATATTTTCTTGGTTCTTACATTTTTGTGAATTGTGCAAACACCATTTACAACCTTGAATACTGTTAAGCGGATGGTACCCTTCATAGGGAGGGATGAGTCCATGGAATCCTCCCCCTCAAAGGAACTAGCAATCTCCGACAATTGGATCCCAAGAAGTAAGTTGATTTCAAAATATTTCAGCAGTACTAGAATTATGTATTTTGGATGAGGAATAATTTTTTTTATTATTAATACGGACGGATACTTGCGCTAAGGATTTCTTAGCGTAAATTATCCTCAAGTTATATCGAAAATATGTAACGCTATAAAATAATAATGGTCAAAAAGTCCTCAACTGTATTGGAGTCACTTGAGTCAAGGAATTGTTATTAGATAATCATATGTTGAGAAACTCGTGATACTCAGTTTACCTCCAAGACCTATGAACCTTTTGTCTCCAGTAAAATTTAATCAAACATACATTCTTTGATAAGCTGGTTTAAGCCCCGAAGATTGTAATATTCATACAAAGATTATTACTGTCAGAGTGCAGGACGATTCTGAAAGATAAGCAACTTGAAGTGAGCGATTCATAACGAAAACAATGATTAGAATATATAGTGTCTTTACTGTGGTGACAATAATTGTTTTCTCACATGCAAAGCTTAATTCTCTTGAAATCTTTATGTCAGGGGGCGTGGAACTTAATATTGAGTTTAAAGGTAAGAATTTTTAACCTTTTATCTGGTAGCTTTGATTTATTTCTAACTGTCTGTTTTACAATAATGCACACAACTTCAGAATATCTTATGGGGGCAAAATTTGACAGAATTTAACTTTTAACTTGACCTTTTTACAATTAAAAACATTCCAATGACAGTGATGACTTCGTTGTGGAAAGTACAGATAAATACTAAGTTGTTTAAACTTTCCTTGGATATCTTAAGCTTATAACAATACAAGTGTAACAAAAATAAATGGTTTGGCTTATATTGTAATTGCACAGTCATGTATGGATTCATTTGTGGACCTTCTATAACCTAATGAAAAATAAATTTTTGGACATTGAAAATATTATAAAAATTACTATATAGAAGTGTAAATATTGATTTTATCTATCTCATTTTCAACAAAGAGTACCGGCCCAGGAAAAATGTTCAAAAACAGCGAAGTATTGATGAACATAAGTCACTGTTGCTGAATATATATGCAAATAGTTAGTGTTCAATTATTTATCTAGGCATAATAAAGTGCTAAAATGTTTGATTACAAATTCAGTAATACATTGTAGATTTCAATTTATTTTATTTTAGGTTCCAAGGCAGATCACTCTTTCTGCATAAAATACCAATTAGAAATCTTTAATAACATGAATTAGAAATCTTTAATAGCAGTGCATTAAGGGTTCTTAAAGGGACTGGGACACAGATTTGAAGTTCATATTTTCTCAAATTTTCTTTATACTATCATCGCTTATATGTTGCTGTAGTATTTCACACAGAAATATGATGAAAGCATGTTAATAAACTTCTTTTATCTGGAAATTATTAAAACTACGAATTTCGGGACGCCTTTGATTAACACGTATACTAGCACTTTCACAATGTAAACTTCAGAAAAGTTATGGCATGTCAAACGTTGCAATATTCTATCTTTTCCATTTGTATTGTAAAATTTTCCATTTGCATTGTACAATTTTCCATTTGTATTGTATAATGTTAATTTGTATTCTATAATTTTCCAATCGTATTCTATAATTATTCATTTCTATTAGATAATATTTATTTGTATTGTATAATTTTTCATTTGTATTGTATAATTTTTCATTTGTATTGTATAATTTTTATTTTTATTCTATAATTTTCCATTTATTTTCTATAATTTTTCATTTGTATTGTATAAATTTTCATTTCTATTGTGTGATTTTTATTTGTATTCTATAATTTTCCATTTGTGTTCTATAATTTTCCATTTGTGTTCTATAAATTTCCATTTGTACTGTACAATTTTACAATACAAATGGAAAAGTAGGATATAGAAATGGAAAATTATACAAATGAGAAATTATACAATACAAATGGAAAATTATACAATACAGATCGAAAATTATACAATACAAATGGAAAATTATACAATGCAAATTGAAAATTATACAATACAAATGAAAAATTATAGAATCCAAATAATTATGCAATACAAATAAAAAATATACAATGCAAATGGAAAATTATAGAATACAAATAAAAAAATATACAATGCTAATGGAAAATTATACAATACAAATAAAAATTATACAATACAAATGGAAAATTATACAATACAACAAAAAAATTAACAATGCAATTGAAAAATTATACAATACAAATGGAAAATTATAGAATACAAATGGAATATTATACAATACAAATGGAATATTATACAATACAAATGGGAAAGATCGAATATTGCAACGTTTGACATACCATAAAAAGTAGAGTCTTTGTTGTCTATTAATGAAAATATTAAAACTATAATCTAGAAAACTAAGAGTAGAAATGCGAGAAAGTAAAACACCTCAGCTATATTGTCAGTCCGTGCTCAGTTATATGTGCAGAGTTTAGCAAATCGAACAAACTCGGTGAAACATAAACATTAACAAAAACATATAGTCCCCTCCGGTTTCACCGGTAGGGGACTAATAACAGAGCGCGTGCCCTGTTAATTTTGTAAAAACAGATGTTTGACGTGATGTTAAAAAGAATGTCGTTGACATTGAATTCTTAGAATATTCATGTAAGTTCAATGTAAATTAAATTCATTTAACTGGTTTTATTTTTGAATAAACATGGAATTTAAAAAGTAAACCTTGCAACTGTGTCCAGACCCCTTCAACATTTAGCAAATTGAACTTACTCAATTCAGTACCCATATTTTAAAAAATATATAATATAGTGATCCCAGAAATTATTGAGAATTTCTTCGCTATTTTTTAGATACTGTAAAAATAAAATATTTGACAGTTTGATATCAATGTTTTTATCAAAGGATAATACTATTTTCTTATGTGCAGTTTTCATGAATTACTTACCTTTTACATTGTATACTTCCTGTCAATTTCTGATGTTCAAAGTGACTGGTTTTGGAAACAAAAAGCCTATTGTAGATATGTAATATCATGAGATTGTAAAACTTTTGTTATTTCTAAAACATTTTAAAAATATTTAACTATCCACTTTTGTTTTACATGGAGCAACATACTGAAAAAAGCGAAAGAATTCAGAAAAGGAAAAGAAAGCCAGACCTCTAGGCCTACCAATTCTTTCCCTGAAATGAATTTCTATTTCTTTTCTTTTTTTCAATAATTTGTACCACACAAAACACAATAGAAACTGAAATACCCAATGTTTCAGAAATATCACTGGGTTTTACAATAACTTGATATGTCTTTAATAGACTTTCTGTTCTCAAAACATTCATTTTGAACAACAGTAGATACACGTAACAAGAAGTAAATAGAATAAAAGGGAGATCATCAACGAAAACTGTATGTTTCATAAAAAAGAAGGGCGTATTAGTATTGTCATTGGATAAAATGTTATATTAAGGACAGATGATACGTTCCTCAATAATATATAACTTTTTTCAAGATTTTGTCATTGAAGTATTGTTACTTTAACATGTTTAATCACGAAAAATTGAGGTACGTTTACTTACCAGGCATCTGTGCAAGATACCAGAGGGTAGTTTTTCTTATATAATCCTTTGGAAAAAATTAATTTGCCATTATCAAATATTTTAGTGTTTGGATTTTTTAAAGACAATTAGAAACTCGTTTAGAAATCAAAGGGTAATTAAATTTTTGAATATTTTTCATACATAACGAAGATATACATAACAGATATTTGAGGAACCTATCGCCTGACCTTAAATTATGTTATTTATGCACAATCTTAGATAAAATTTTTTTAATGTATACATAAAATTTTCAATAGTTTCTGGCACTATACAATAAGATGTCCATGATATATAATTCATATTATGATAAATATAAATAAATTATTAAAAAATATTACGATGGGAAAAGATTAATTTGTCTACATGTAATCCCATTTTGTGCAAGTCACCAAATCTCTCTGGTTTGCGAAGATGACTCAATCCACTAGCGAAGTAAAACTTATGGTTAAACAAATTTCAGTTTGACCAATCAAAACGAATTTATGAAAATAAAAACAAGGACGGTCTTTATGGCCATATGTAAATTAGTTTTTTCTTTTGCATATCCTTGACAATATTGAAATCTTTCAGCTTTCTTTTTTTAGGAAGCAAAGAAGTTTCTAGAGTGATAGTGCATATTAAAGGAGAAAACACATCTAAGATTTATGACTTGGAACAGGATCAAGGTAAGTAAATAAAACAAAAGGACGTTTTGTTTTCATTATTATTTTCATAACCAATTATTTGGGGGTAAAATGTCTAGATTTCTCCTATTATACCGCACCAGGAACCCCTTGAAATAGCTAAGATATCATTCATTGCAAATTATTTTAAAAATCTAGGGAAGTACATGTATTTAAATGTTGAACTATGGACTATAACTGAAGAGATCTTATTTAAGTTTCATTTTTGAGATGATTTATATCAATTTCTGGTGACTTTTCCTCTCTTGTTTTCTTTATTCCCAAATTTCCTTAATGATCAGCCAATCTTATTCCAGCTATATGAGTTTCGGGTATTTTGTGTTATGTTATAATGTACAACTCAGAATAGTTTGTTAAGTAACGGTTTGTTAAAAGATGTGACCAAGTGGAGTTGCATGGACAGATATCCTCAAGTCAAACTGGGTGAGATGATTCGTTACCAAATCACGGTATGGAAGAGAGGATATTCCACAGAATCCATGTCGAATACAGGTAAATGGTGATTTTTTCCTATAAATAATTTTAGAAGTTTTGAAATGTTAAGAATCTCTTCTAAAACAATACTTTAAGTATTAAGCGTTACTTGGTTTGCTTTGATGAGTTTGAGTAATTTATAAGAAAAACTCTTCAGAATTTGTCAATTATCATTAGTATACCATTGAAACGATGGATGATGAACTTGCACGTTACATGGAACCAAGAGAAATACAGTGTAGTTTATAATAATCATAAACAATGTATCACTCATTTTTCATAATTATAATTATTAATGTATGAACAACTTTGTAAAATTCATTATTTTCCCCGTTTGTGCAGTTATGCTGTCCTCTAAAAATTCTTTGGCTCCTTTGCGTAGTATCAGGAGAGTTACAGTTTTCCGAGATGATTTCAACCATTTTGACAAAAGCCATTACAAGATGGAGGTTGATGCCACCTGAGGCGGAGTAAGATTAACAAAACTTCATAATCAACTTGTGAAGTGTATGTAATATCATACGATTTGTTCTCTTTCTATTGTTATGGAAGGTCATACAATAACATTTTCTGTATAAGTTTGAATTCTATATCAGGTTATTTCATGATATACGTGTAGTTATTTTTAAAGGTACATAAGCACTTCGAATCCAAGACATGGTTACGATATCGATTTTGAAAGTCTACGCATTTTAGAATGGGGAATTCCAAATATACACCCCGGAACACCGGAATCTGTACACTGCTAATGGATATCTATATATTAAACCAGTAAGTGAACAACATTATCTGACCCTGTATTTCTTTATATGAACATACTAACATATAATAAAAGATGTACAAATGTACATGTACATTAAGATTTAAAAAAAGCTTTGTAATAGTATTTTTTGAGCAATATGGACAATGATTTAAACTTCAAGTTGTTTAATATTTCTCAATTAGACATTGACTATCGACCATCCTGCATTCACTACTGGACGAAAAATGTGCTGAGAATCTCAAATTTTACTGATAATGTTTGATAATTACTGATACGGTGCTGTTCTTGCTGATAAAGACTGATATTTACTGTTATTATTACTGTCGTTGCTGATAATTTTAGTTGTTTCTGATAAATACTGATAATTACTGTCGTCTTTACTGTGGAGTCTGATAAATACTGATAAATACTGTTGATGTGCTGTCGATGCTGAGATTTACTGATAATTACTGTGGTCTTTGTTCTTAAGCTGGGAAGGGCTAAAGAAAAACTGAGGGCTGTAAAAACCTTCAATTATTTCTTTCTTTTAATTATAAATTATCATTACGACATTTTCATATTTCTTTAAATGTTCTGCTAGTGACAAAAATTACGCTGATCTTATTTACTACAATACGGTTGTGAAAATGTTGACAATAAATAAATGAAACCTTCCGCGTATATTAAGCAAATGTTTTCTACCGATCTATGAAAATAGTATAATTTATCTGTAAGCAAGATAAATGGAATTTTATTAATGTACTGTAAATATATAAAAAGAAAATAAGGCTATCTTTTAAAAAGATTCATCGCCGCCCTCTCCCGACTCCAAGATATTTGGGTAGGGAGGTCGGTGATTTTTTTTTTTTTTTTTTTCAATAATAAGAAATAGTTCTTAATGGGTGGAAAAAAAATCGGGATAAAAAATATTTCCTGCAGGTTAGAAAAGTTTGATTCACACGGTTTCACTCCGTCAAATGGTCAAGAGATGAAGACATTTTCTTTTTAAAGATGACCTTTCATATAGCTATTTTTGTTTTTTCTTTCTCAAAGACATTTATTTTTTTTTTCATTTTTAAATGTTTGGTTTTCTGGTCTCTGTCAAGATATTTGAAAACTTGCTCGAAAATTAGAAATTTGCATTTTTAAATTTAATAAAGAGATGAAAACAGAGGTGAATATGTTCAATCTGGAGGCACAGATTATTTATTTATTCATTCATTCATTTATTTGAACGTAATATAGGCATTTTAGATTCTTCCAGAATATCTCTTCTAAATCTACATGTACACGATACATATATGTGCAACCGGCAGATTGGGGGCTGATTAAAAATTAGTGCATGGTCAGAATCCCCAGTGTCAGAGCGAAGGTACACATGTGTTTATGTTATTTTGATGTTGGTCTCTTAAAATTTCATGACACGAAACATTTTTATTCAATAAGTTTTAAAATCTTATTAATTTAATTTTATGGAATGTGAAATAAGAAATGAGACCTAATATAATAATTATGTTTACTTAGTAAAGTACATGTATATGATTAAATTGATCAATTTTAATCTTGTGTGGTCAAAAATTGCATGGAATAAATTGATCTTCATTGATCAAAAATCGAAGATCAGTCTCTGATTTGGCTGTATTGTGTACAAGACTTCCGCCCCGGGGTAGAACGGGGTACATCTTGTATATTCAATGTAATTTGTAGTGGTCAGCGTAACAATGGGCACTAATTACCTATTGTTCCTCGTCTGCGGCCACCGGTGTACATAATAAACAAACTACCTACACTGTACATGTACTTTCTTCTTTGAGCAGGAAAATCTTTACGGTCGCACGGAAAAAAAATTATCCTGTAATATTCAATTTGTTGACGAATAAAATTGAAAAATGAAAAAAAAACTATTTAGCAAAGTAGGACATTGCAGTACTAAGAACAAAAATTGAAGTTATATTATACATATACATTGTACAGACTTAATATTCAATAATTATTTTAATTCACATAAATCTATCTTTGCTCAGTATTTAATTTTATTTGTTAGTTTTATGCACATTTCTTGACATGCTTGAGATAAATTTAAAAGGAAATCCCGGGGAGGGGGCTACATGTATTTTCAATTGTGAATCTCGGTTAACGATGGTTTGGGGCCCGTGAAACGGAGACGAGAAATTGATACGGAACATTTGACTTCATCTTGTAATTAAAACATTATGCAAAATGTACATATAAATTTAAAAAAAATAGACAATTGAAATTATATTAATAGCATTAACTGTTCACAATTCAGAAACAGGTAATTAAACTCCACATCGCTCAGAATCCGTGAAAAAAAAAAATCTTTTATGAATTTTGAATGACAGTAACATGACATTGTTTATCGCACTCATGAATAAATGTTATAGTTCTGAATTTGGTATCGTTCATATTCTAAAATAATTTTATTCATGTATATAAAAAATATGTAATAAGTAATTATAACATGTATGACTTATTAAACATAAAACTAAAGAATCAACCTTGCGCGTATCAGTCTTAAGTTAACAGTATTCCCCCCCCCCCCCCCGTTTTTTTGTGCTACAATAAAGCATAATCAAGTCGGTAAGTGCCCAGCCTGTACTGTTCGTTTATACAAAGGTCTCCGACAAGGAGAAAATGGAATTAAAAAACATTATAATCTCTGTACAAAACTATTTCTAATTTTACGAAATTCATGTCGCACGATACACAGAATGTACTAATAATTGACCCGATTCTCAAAACGAAAGTAGAACTTTTACACGTGGTTGACATGTGTGTTCCAGAACAGCAATTTAGCAAGACGGCATTAATGGACGAAAGTAACTTCAAGTTTTGTTTTATTTTATTTTGTTTTGTTTAACTGACTGACCACGTATAACATGTATAAGCAGTTATTTATTGACCTCCCTGATACTGGCGTATGTCCATAGACCTAACGCAGATTTATGTACTATTAACAAAGAATTAAAGAAAGACGTGTATTTCATTGATTGAAAATCACACTGCATAAGATTTGTAGTGTACTGATGGCTTAACAATTAAAATTAAAAAAAAAACACGAAAGATTGAAAGCGTCGATACCACACAATGATATCAAATTCGCATCGAGGACATAATCAGAGAACTAGAGCGCACTGGCTATATGTATATAAATGAAAGAGATTATTCTGCAAATTAAAGATGTTTTATTTTTATTATTTAAACCTGTCACATTCTTCAATAAAAGGATATAGTGTACACAACATAAAATCAGAATAGATTTTTTTGTGAGATATATTTAATACTGGCTAAGGTGTCTTCTTAAAATGAGAGTTGTATGTAAATAAAGGGGGGGGGGTCTCAACTTACAGAGCTCATACATGTTCAGTTCTCCACACGAAAAAATAAATTGACAATAACAGCCATTGACTGTATTAAAGATGCCCTCTAAAAGCTTTTGATGACAATACAAATACACGTGGAAAAAATATGAGATGGGATTTTTTTAAACCTTGAAAATAAAAACTTGTTTTAAAAAGGTCTTGGGGAGAAAAAACATTGCAATAACAACACAATTATTATTTTCCACAGATATTGAAAACTTTGTGAAAGGAGAAATATAAAGGAAAAACACAAACATTTATGATCTAATTTTAACATTATGATGTAAAAATGATTATTATAATAAAATTAATACATGAAATTTAAAAACAAATAAAATGTGACTTTTTTTTCTCTAGAATATTTCTTTTTTTTTTTTAGAATACTGTAATGAATTTGTTGATAAAATACTTCCTTTTCAAACAAATAATCATTTCTTAGGCAATTTTAGTCCCTTCCCAGATTAAAAACAATGACCACAGTAATTATCAGTAAATCTCAGCATGACAGCACATCAACAGTATTTATCAGTATTTATCAGACTCCACAGTAAAGACGACAGTAATTATCAGTATTTATCAGAAACAACTAAAATTATCAGCAACGACAGTAATAATAACAGTAAATATCAGTATTTATCAGCAAGAACAGCACAGTATCAGTAATTATCAAACATTATCAGTAAAATTTGGGATTCTCAGCACTTTTTTCGTCCAGTAGTGATTTGACAGTTCTAAATTATACAATGGACAACTGGATGTGAAAAGTAAGTTTAGTATAAGACTTTTTACATGTATTAAGTTAATTTCTGTTTTCCATAAACTGCACACACTTTGAAACTTTGAGAAAGACTGTATTTAAGATGATTCCATTTTTGTTGACCCTCAATCAAGACAATGCTCGAATCTTGACGTACATTTTGTTTTCATTTGTTCTTCTCTCAATAACCTATTTTAACGACAATGATCTTATTCACGCAATGTTGCAATCATACGCGTAAAAAATTATCAGTTATATAAATTTTTGGAATGAAGGTTTATGGGGAACCTGCACTAGATCCTTTAATTCGGGATGTCATAAGTCCGCGTATGGACAGGAGATTCTTCCACCAGTTATGTCTGGCAAAGTTTACACTAACGCTGCCATAAAATATGGACGAATCGACGTGCGAGCAAGACTTCCCAAAGGCGATTGGCTCTGGCCAGGTAGTCCTCTATAAATATAATATTAAACCCATCATTTTGTTTTGAATTAACAAACCCTGTTTAATTATACTGTATTAAAATTCAGTATCACCCTTGAATTTTATGGTTTTATTTGACAGCTATATGGTTGATGCCACGTCATGGTGTATACGGTACTTGGCCTCGTTCCGGAGAAATTGATGTTATGGAGGCAAGAGGTAGAAAACAATCCCATCACTTAGGGGACTGACGTTTTTGCAATGAGATTAGACATATTTTCATAAACAAAAGACTTGAATTTCATAAACTATAAAGTGGATAACATGTTTGAACAAAGTAACTTTAGACAAATCATTCTTATGCTTCTATAAATGGTTTAGTTTATACCCTCTTTAATATTCACAGCACCGACTACAGATAAAAAGTCAATTACTAGTACTTATTTTATAGTATATAGTAGTAGAGATCCAACAATTTTGATACTGGACCGAGTATGACACCGACATTGGTCCAACATCAAAATTATTGCACCGCTTATGTCAAATTAGAAGTCATTAAGTGCCCTAAATGAACGCTCGCGAGTTGTTCATATAAAGATTACGTCCCAATCGTTATTGTTCACATGCAAGTGGAGGGTATATTAAAACTGCTATCGGCAGAGTAT